GAGTGATACTAAAGCATGTTAGTATCTAATGACAATATTTCAGATGAGAGAAAGAGATGGATTGTTGCAGGTAACTTGAGACCCAAATCTTTGAGAAGGAAGTGGCCCTGCAGCAAAGAGAGGGGCTGGCCTTTAGGGAAGCAAGAAATACAGGTACCTCTGTGAGGTACCTCCTAAGGTCTCTGCTCAAATGTCCACTATCAATAAGTCCTTTCCTGATTTCCTTTTCTTAAGTGGCACCTCCATCCCTCCCTCGTTCCCACCTCTACTCTTCTTCCATAGCCTTTTTCTATATACATACAACAGTCTTTATTGTCTTTTTTCCCTCCTGCCTCTGTTGGGAAGTAAGCTAGAGGAGAATATTTGTCGAGTCTTCCAGCATCTAGAACAGTGTCCAGCACTGGACAGGTGCACAGTAAATGTGAATGAAGCAAAGGAAGGGATACTGGAGTGTGCTTGAGTACTGCTGTAAAGACAGGAGCGGTAATTAGCGAACAAAATGCTCGAAATCTAGATGTATGGAGGTGAGGGAAAGTGGTAGCTGGGTAGGAACGCAGTACAGACTCCTTGCCTCTTCTGGCTGAGTCACTTTGATCAAATTACTGCACCTGTCTGAGCCACAAGGATTAGGACTTTGTTGGCAGGAAGTGAGCGCTCATCAAAGCTTGGCTCCCCTTTCCCACGCCTCTCCATTTCCTCCAATCCGCTTGCTTTCCCCACCTTGCTTGGTGTAGGTTGCTGTTCTCAGAGTCCTTCCTTTAAAGACAGGTGCAACACAACGAGGAGCTTGGCTCAGAGCACGCAGCTCCCAACCGGGGCACTGAACCCAGCGCACGCCTTTGCTGCCCGCGACCCGCCAGGCGACCTTCAGGCCCGGTGGGGCGGGGCGGAACGGGCCAATCCTGAGGCAGTCCGAGTGGGGCTCAGACGGCAGGCAAGCAGGGCTGTCAGTGCATCCAAGAGTCGGTGGGTCTGTCCAAGGCCATGGCGAAGCTGTTGGTGCTCACTGTCCTGGGGCTGGGCCTGGGCCTCATCAGGGATTACCGGTCTTCTTACCGGTAAGTTGGGTGGTGATGAGGGCTTCCGTCTTCTTACCCCCACCTCCACTTCACCAGCCCCAGGAGCCCCCAGAAAGAAGGACCCAGGCTCTGAATAGAAAATATGCGGACAGGTTGGATGCACATCCCACAGGGGTTGTCCAGTTTTCGTATGCCACTTGAAAATTTATCCTTGCCCACATTCTAAGAAATGTGGCATGGAGACTATGGTCAGCGGTGTGAGTGAGAAAGTTGTTAGCATATCCAACTAACTTTGCTTGTAGAGCTGTATGACGAGGCTACAGATTCACTTTTCAGTCTCTCTTCAAAACAGATAAACCAGACTGTGGAGCCCCAGATACTGTATGAATCAGGGAAAGGTGCCCCAAACATGGCTACCTGGCCCTGGCGGGAAACTAACAGCTTGGAAATTCTCAATTTTAGGCCACACTGAGAGAGACAGCAAGGCAGCATGTGGACCCCCGCAGGTGGGAGGCAATGTGCCTTTTGATGGGCCCCCGAGATGGAAAGAACCCCCTCCTGGCATTTGATGTCTTGGGTTCTGGCATCTGCCCCTTGCAGTATGGGCTCTTTGGCCAATCATTTTACATTTCTAAAACGAATTACTTTTAGTTGCCCTCAAGTCAGCTGACTTGTGGGGACTTTATGGGTGACAGAACTTAGTTGCTTCAGTAAACTGGAAAGAGTAACATACACTCATATATGGAACAACTAGCACAGTGCCTGGGACATAAGAAATAGTCAACATGTGTTAGTTTCCTGCACCCTTTAAAGTGCTCTATATCCTGGTGTTATACAAGGGGGATAAAAGTGTTTTAAGAATTTATCTGTAGTTTTGCTGAAACTTTTTGCAGGGGTCAAAGTCTAGAGATCATCTTATTCTCTAAGGCCTGGGCAATAATACGTTATTTACCCTGAAGTAAAACATTAATAAAAATTAAATTGAACATTTTTGATTTTTAAAAATTATATAATCCTGTGGACTGATTAAAAACTTACATCCAGAAGAGGTTTTTATAAATGACTGTTTTGTTTTGTTTTTTCCCCATTTTTAAATTATTATTCAAATCACAGTCATAGAGAAATATCAGGTAAGAAGCTGTTGGTGATTTTGGCTTTTTAAATCATATAAAAATGACAGTTTGTGAATTTTCATTTGTCATTTGAGGCCAAAGGATTATTTTATTATTGTTGTTTCTAACCACAGCGTAGGTGTGGCTGTGGTATTAACCTGGGATAAAAGGAAATGGGGTATTGTAAGAACCCAGCACCTGATCTAGGCTTTCTCAGCTTCAATTCTCCATTTCCATCTGCACCTGGATTTTTTCTGCTCACAGTCTTCCAGTTGCCACACACCAAGATGTCTACCAAAGGAAAACAGATCTGCCAGAAAGAGGATCAATCTTTCTAATTTATTATTTCTTACTTTATTCTAAGAATAGAGACTACAGGTATCATTTGCATGTTTTTATGTAAAAGCATAGCTTTACTAAACCTAACCTAAAAAGTTTCTCTCGCCATGAGGTCTTAAGAGCCCATTAACAAATCAGTATTTCCCCAAGTTTGTTCCTTTATTTTGATATTTTGTGACTATAGGACCAGATTTGCATTTTTGAAATACCTTTTAGTGCCTCTGGTCATGAGGTGAATGCCAACTTGCCTTTAAAGCCAGCTTTCTGTCATTCATTGAACTCCAATCTCCTTGCAGACCAGGATTTCATAGTGCCTAAGGTGTAATTGGTTAACATGAAGTGCCAGAGACAACCCAGGGATGCACAAAACAGCAGGGCAGAAGAGCAGGAGAAAGGGGATTAAAATCCAGGAAGCCAGACAGAGGTACAGTCAGCCACAGGGACCCAGGTGGGGGTGATACGAGAGGTCTCC